AACTATAAAATAGGGATTTTGTCAAATACCTTAGCATAGTGTTTGCCATATAATAGTCACTTAGTAAATGTTTCCTTTCTGCCAGCTTTCATGCATTCCTGCTTTCCCTTAGGCCTTACTCACTTTAGTTCTCCCAGGGGGCTAGTTAAACAAATCTTTATTAAATATATCTTTAAATGAACTATTTGGAAATTAATAAGAGACTTGTACTTAGAATGTGTCTTATGGTAGGAATAATTACTTATGTTTCTGTATGCCCTGTAAATTTTAAATGTGAGTCTTCAATGAGTGAGTCTGATTTTCATTTATCAATTCATTTTTATAGATTTAAGGATCTTAAAGTTCTCTAAGTATGCTTTTAGAGGGCTTGAATTTGATAAATATTTGAAGTATTTTACCTTTTTATAATACTGTTTACATTACTCACCTGAAGTGTTACATTTTCTTAACAGAGTTAAAATTTACTCAGCTTCTATACCTCTTGAATTTAGTTGAATTAGCACTAATGAAGTGTGTTTGGAGAATGTTACATGACATTAATATTGAATTACTAAAACATGAGATGGTAACTAAATTCACATGCTAAGCAAAATTGAGATAATATGTTTCTGAAGAAGATACTGTAATTTTGCTAAACTGTGCTAACTGACCTATGCAGGTCTTAATACCTTGGCTAAATATGAGATATATTCCATCTGCTTAAGGAACTTAGAAAATCTCTGATGGCTTAAAAGACGAACTGTGTTTACTTACTCTTTTCCCACATAGTTGATTGTAGGGAACTATACTCCAAATAAATAATTTTTGAGTCAGGACAGTCTCTCTTTGTAGAAAATCTTGCTTTACATGTGGATCATTTTTTTCCCCCAGTTTGGGCTATTAATGATTATTACTAACCGATGAAAAGTTCATTTCAGTATTTCAAAATGTTGGGAAATTACTCAAAAATAGATAATTGTTGATCACGTTTCCGTTGTCGTTACCATTAACTAATTTGATTCAGTAGTTTTTAAAAATTATTTAGAAGCAACATGAACAACTTGGTTCAAGGTTCTCCTGACACATACTGGCTTTATTACATTGGGCTAGCCACTTAAAATCTCGTCAGTTCCCTAGGCAGCTCTCTAAGACTGTAAATTACAGAGTATGTGTTGATATGTATTATTAGAGGGAGTTTCTTTATCCTGACTTGATAGAAAGACCAGGTGCATCAAGTGAATTTAAAAAAAATATATATTTTTTTTACAATTTTACTATAATTTTTCTATCTTGTACGTGTGTACTTTAAATACAAAAAAATTATAAGTAGATATTATAATTTTGCTTTGAAATAAAATTTTCTTTCTCCTTTCTCTAGTATGTTCATATACACTGTGTCATTTGACACAGCTTGGTTCTTTGAAGGGAGTTTGCTATATCAGTGAGGTCATAAAGCAGATCACAATCTTTCTTTACTATAATGAAGCATATTGATGATTTTTTGAGGCCAAAAATATTCTACCATTACATGGCTAACCTTTTGGTTGTAAGCTTTTCCCAGTTTAGCTAAACTGGTTGATATACATCAATTCAGTTGCCAAGCTATACTCTGAGCTTTTGTAGCTTCTTGTATGGAAAATGTGCTCTGTAGGCATAGCCTTCAGCAACCATGGTACCTCAGTTCCTGCTGAAGTGGGGACTGTTTAATAATAATCCTAAAAGAAAATTTTGTTGCTTTTACATGGATTTTATTTATACTTGAATTTAAGATTTTTAAAAACTTTAGTACTTAACCCTTAAGTCTAAAAAAAGTTGAAATTTAATTGGTTTCTTAGATATATTTGTTATAGAACTTTGGGGCTCTCCTTTTTAGCTCTGCCTCATGTTATGTACATGTCTAATTCCTCCCATAAGATTATAAACTCCTTGAGGACAAGGCCTATGTTTTAACTTGGTACAGCATTGAATGCTAGGGGTATATTGACTTAATAAGTTCAGTTGAGTTAGGTATGAGTATTTTGGGAATTATGTTTCATACTACCACATTCTAGCTTTTAGCCATTTTTGTTCCTTAGTTTTGACCTCTTGTTTTTTAACTTTGTGAAAGATGGGAGTGACCAGGAAAAAGGATGTGGGTTAGGCATTTCATCAGGTGATTAAATTTGGCTTTATGGTTTCTTTCTCCATTGCAAATACGACTAATAACAAGTGCAACTGGTTTTCTGGGTGATGAATTGGTAGCTTGATGGATTTTCTGGTAAAGAAGTTTTTTAATCTTCATATTTAGTGAAGTTAACTTTTTTTATTCTTAGAGTAGCATCACATTAATTAGAGCAAATTTAGAGGTTAGTATATGAGAAATAATCAGTCAGTAACTGGATATTTATTGCATGACCATTATTTACTAAGCATTGTGAAAACCAGATTCATCTTGAATTTTACCTATGGTCCAATGAGAATCTGTCTCCTGTTGGCCATCTGATTCATGAAAGTGAGAACTAGTCATCACATTTGATGTAGTTGAGTTAAAAGCACTTTATCCTGATAGTGCTTTTTAACGTTTTTCATTCTGTAGCACATTTGTAGGTTTATAAATGTGTCGTTGCACATCAGGGAAAACAAGGGTCCCTACCTCCATTATTGAGCTTGAAGTGCCAGTATGACAGCCAGGTGGAGATGTCCACCAGATAGCTACAAATAAAGGTATGTAGTTCATTAAAATGGGTGGGGCTGGAGGCATAGATTTGGGTGTCTTCCTTATAAAGGAGATGGGTGAAACTCTAGGTAGTTGAGATTACCAAGGGGAAAGTTTTTATTGAGAGAGAAGAGTGTGGAATGAGAAAGGAGCCTTGAATGGAACCCAGTGAAAGAACCAGCAAAAAGAGACAAGAGAAGTTAAAAATCAGAGAAGAAGACTGAGAATATTGTGTCACTTTAGAGTAGCCAGGAGGCACAGAGTAGCAGTGTTAGGAGCAGGAGTGGGTCTTAACCTTTTTTATATTGTGGACCTCTTGGTGGCATACTGATAAAAGCTGTGTTCCCACTTTCAGAATAATGTTTTTATTTTCACAAAATTAAATATATTGATCATAAAAGAGACCAGTTATAGTGAAATATAGTTAAATTTTTTTCTAAGTTTGTGGGACTCTAAGTTAAGGATCTTTGCTATAGGTAGTCATGGAGGAGGAGAACAAAAGGCCATTGTGTTTCTTAACTAGGTTACTGATGACCTTTGAATGAAGTTTTAATAAAGTGCTGCTGGCAAAATCACAAAGGGATTAGGATCCAATGGAAAGGGGAAGAAAATGGAGGCACTGGCTACAGATGACACGTTAGAAATTTGGAATCCATATCTATGTGGGGACAGGATAAAGGAGAATCCTTTATCCCATGACCATAACATTTCAAGGATCACGTTGGTAAAGATATTCACTTCTATATAACCCATAAGTGTATTATTTGTCACAGCTGAAAAAAATTATCACATTTTGGGCAGGCTTTCCAAAAAAAAATTATCTGGATTGATCCCTAGAGGACCAGTTAGTTCAGATAGGTATTTCCTTTGCCAAACTATACTTAAAACCTTCTTAGCTGGGTGCGGGATTTGTCAGAGCTTGTACTTCATTTGAATAGTTCTTAGCTCAACCATCTCTATGCCGTGTTGAAATCCTGGAGTAGGAAGATAATTATAACTTAATATTTGAAATAGCTGTTGGCATAAAATGTTTCTTTAAATTGATGTCACTTAAAGCATAATGGCTCCATCTTGTTGCTGGTAGTGGAAGTGCACTAAAAATCTGATAACATTTTAGTATAGATAGGAAGTAGTGGAAGGTTAACTTTGAATGTACCTACTTGATATTATTTCTAGGGTTAAAGAGATAAAGTGAGGAACAGTTTTGTTCTGAAGGTTTTATATACCTACATACATACTCAAATACATGCATGCATATAGTACCAGTATGACAGCCAGGTGGGGATATCCAACAGATAATGAAGGTATTCATTAAAATAGATAGTGATATATCTGTAGAGATATCAAAAGGTATAGATATATATGTATGTAGTATGTACATATGTAGTATCAGGTAACACACGAAAAGTAATTATACACAAAAAGGTTTGGTGGATATAATAAAACATGCTATTTTTGAGGACATTTATATTAAAATGAGAATAAATGGGTCATGAAGACAGTTGTTAGAACAGTGTTATTTGTTAATGTTTTTAATTTAAGTATAAAATATTTTAAGTTCAGACAAATCTGAGAGTATTACTTTTTGCCATTTTTGTTGTGTATGAAATACAAATAACTTGTAGAAAGTTTTTTTTTTTAAATCCCTGAGTAATAACCATCTTTGCAGTAGAATTAGAGTTATTAGTTTATATGGAAGTATTTTAATTAAGTTTATTCCATATGTATTCTTAAAATAGCTCTCTCTTGTCTCAATATGTTCTAAAAGGTTTCTGGACTTTGAAAAAATACAAAGGCGGTTATAGATATGCATGTTTTCCTTTTCTATATCTATTCTAAAATGTGCTTATTTTAATAGGAGTTCATTATGCTTTACATTTTTTAATGTTTAGGTTAATTGCATGTGTGTTGAATTATATTTAGAATAATTACTTGACTTCATAAACAGAAGAGCTTTGACCTTTAAGATTTAAAAGTAGCTCTGTTCTTGTTAGAGATAGGAGGCTGTGTCTTGGTTAAATTTTTATTTGTGATTTTGAAGCCATTTTAATATATGCAAATTAAAAAAGGATAGTATATACATCACAGATTATTGGGTAGATGTGCTTCAAAGCTATGAAAATTCTTTTATTATATTAGTTACAGTTCTTTCTTTGATATATTTGTTGATACTATATTTAAAGTACATTAGGAAAACTCGTTTTGCTGTGCTGAAGATTACTGAAGTTTTTTTCTCCGTAAGGAAGAATAACTTTAATCCATATTTAGGCTAAATGAAATATCTTTTTCTTCCTCTTCCTTACTTTCTATATAACAAAATATTTAGTCTCCGGAGCAGAGAAGAAGAGAGGAATTCCAAACCTGGAGCTGTCTCTACACCAGTAAAAAACATAGATGATCTCATGCCTACTAAAACCGTGGAAGAAGCCATAGTTGAAAGGAATGAAAAACAAACCCCTACTCTTCCAGGTAATCTTGGCAAACATATCAAGTAAAGCAACATTACACATGTAACTTGAAGAATTTAAACAAAAGGAAGGATTAGTGTAAGTGGAGAACATTTTAAAGCTGTTGGTTATACTTTTGAATATAAAAATGTCTCAAAATACTTGTTGAATTTTTAAATTTTTGTTATTTAAAGGGTAATTCTGGGTATTTGTCAGATACTACTATCTATAGTACGACTTTGCATGTTCTAATTTATCAAAATTTTGCATGAAAATGTAGATATTTCAATCCATTGTCTCATGAGAGAGGCCTGGATAAGTGCTATTGCCATACTAACATAGTTTAAATGTCTTAGGATTTTTCTCCTTGAGAGCTTTCTCATAGTGAAGAAATGGCAGAGAATTATTGTCTATGAGCCTTTGCAGCCAAATTATCTAGATTAATTGTAGATACAGATTAATGATATCATACTAGTGATGATGGAGATATGCCTTATTTTAAAAAGAAATAAAATAATGCCTTGTAGGGAGATGAAGTAAGGTTTGTGATAAAATACCTTGGTAATTCTTGGACACATATATAATGGGAAGGAAATCCATCCCTATTTAAGAGCAACTCCATAAGTTGCTCTTCCTTAATTGTCCAGACTCCAACAAACCCATCTCATGTTGGCTAAACCAAAATTTTCTAGCCCATTTTAAATATCAAAGTTAAATTAGTTTGATTGGTATGACACTCTTTAATCCCAATTTAAAAGGGTAAGGGAATTTTGTTTTTACGAATGTTTTACCTATTTCCTTTATTATAATTTACATCTGACATTGAATACTGAAAAAGGCTGTGTTTGTGTGTGTGTGTGTGTGTGTGTCAGAGAGAGAACAAACAAAAGGATATAACTCAGAGGTGAGAACACTGGTATTTTTAATTCTTTAAAGTGATTTAATTAAGTTTTCATCTTTAATAGAAATTATTGTCAATACTGTCTAGCCCCTTCTCTTTAACCTATATCTTAATTTCTCTCTCTGTCATATACATTCTTACCCAATATCCCTTTCTTCTAGAAAGATACACTTTCCCCTTATTTTCATTACTTATTTTCTCATCTTATTCTCACTTGTATTTACTTTGCATGTCTAGTCTGTGGCAGTATTAGATATATGAAGTCGTGGGAAATAAAGAACAGGATTTTCAGAGGAGTAGGGTTTAGCTATTACTCAATCACTCTTGTGTATTCTTCTGTACCCTTTTTTCCTAGAGGAAAGACAGCATCTAGAATAGCTTGATGCTACTGCAGGCAGCAGCTTATGTGCCTTGGCAAAATAGTAAAATTAACAAGTAGATGATTTATAAGGAGCTTTATTACATAGTTTCAGGAGTTGTAAAGTCTGCTGCCATTCTTATAAACATGGTATATATCTTCCTTATTGTTAGGATTTCCTGCTTTATATTTATAAAGTGGATGAATCTGAAGTCAAGATGCTTTTTTGTGTCTGTATTTGTGTTTTCTTTTTCAAGTAATAAACTCTAACAACTTTAATTTTTTCTCATCAGAGCCAAAACCTGTGTATGCTCAAGTTGGGCAGCCAGATGTAGATTTACCTGTTAGTCCTTCTGATGGTCTTCTACCCAATTCAAGCCATGAAGATGGAATGCTTCGGTAATATGATTCTAAGTTATTTTGTTTTTAGAATGAGTACATTCACTGTAACATATTATTCAAGATATTTTAGGGTTCCATTAAATCACATAAAGCCATTTAATACCCTTTCTTCATGTTTTTACCATTATTGTTTATATCTCTACCTTGATACACAACTCATTTGCATCTGGGAAGTTGACACACTCCCACTTTGAGAGTCACATACCTATGTTTAACCCATTTTCTGTGGTTGAAATTGTAGAAAAGTTGTTTTCTATCCTGACTAATTTCATAAACTCCTAAATGTGGTCCTAACGTTATAGCAACCTGTCATTCATTTACTGTGTTCCTGAATAAGCCAGCAAATAGGAAATTTTCATTTTTCTAGGCAGATCAGTAAAAGGTATATCAGATTTAAAAAATAAATTTGCAAACAATAAACAGTACACAAAAAGAAGAATGGTTGATTAACTTAAGTTTTTATTAAGGACCAGGCCACTTTTTCTCTTGATGGAAATGATACGTGTATATTTCAGTTATCATGGTATGATAAAGCTATAATAATAGAATTCTGAAAGAGCACACTACTTTAGTCTACAGAATTCATTTAAGGTTAAGGGCAGGAAAATGGTTGAGAGATTAGGAGGCCTCTAAACAATACCAGTAAGCAAATAGTAAATTATTTGCACTTTGTGATTTTGTTTTGTTAATCCTACAGTGTCTAGTATGGTTTGAGGATGACAATTATTGTGTAGTCATTCATTTATCTTGTCTATTTATTCCCCCAATTTTGAGGATATGTAGGAAGCAGTCTCGAAATAGTATAGTTCAGTGTTATATCATGTCATCATTCTAGATCTAAAATGAAGAAAATAAAATACGGAATTTCTACTGATTTATGAATTAGATTGAAGATTCTCCTACGTTTTTAGTCATAGAAATGTACCTATATTAATAGCTTCTTAGCCAGGTAGAATTTCTATAAGGTAATTGTTTTGAAGGTATGAGAAGGAATTGGTTTGCAGCCAGCTTTTTGTCCCACCTAAATGCAATATGGACATTCAAGATGCATTGTTATCAAACATTAGATAAAGTGGCCAGAATTTTAGTTGAACTTTTTGAAATATTAATTATCATGGTCACCACCACCACTATCACTGCTGCTTGCTACTCTTAAGATTTTAATGTAATATTTGTTGGTAGTTAGAGAATCTTCGACATTTTAAATTTTAAGCTAATGACCCAATTTATATAGTGGTCTAAGCTTTTACAGAGTTTTTTCCTCACAACAGCTCTGGGAAAGTGGGTGGTACAAGTATTTATAGTCCCTTTTTTTGGTGGGGGTGGGGTTGAGGCTTAGTTACCTAAAGTAGCACAGGTATTTTATAAGTGTTTTTTAACTTACTCTTCTCAAAGCCCCAATTCCCTCCCTATTCCTCCTTCCCCTGGACTTGATTTTTTGAAAGTAGTGAAAGACTTAAACTATCCCAAAAGTGTTCCCTTGCTTTGTTGTTTATGCTTTCCTTCTTTCCTGCAGTTGACAGAAAAACAAATAGCTCTACTACTTCATACTGTACCTGTACTTTTGATCTCGTTTCCTGTAGTACTCCAGAGCCCTTTAGGACTCTGACCTTGAATGAAATGAATGGATCAAAAAGCATGTATTAAGCACCAACACTATGCTAAGCACTGGCAAGACAAATAAGAAAAAAAAATACCTCCTCTCAAAATGGTCACACTTTTAATTGGATCAGGCAACACATTTTAGAGTTCAGTTGCAGGGCAGGTGAAAAGACCCAGAAGTCTTTAAGGTGCAGTGACAGGGGTCATAGTAAAGCCGCGTAATAAAGTGCACTTCTTTGGGTACACCACTAAGTCAGATTATAGTGCCCAGTAGTCTGGAGAGCAGTAAGACCCAGAAGATATTAGGACACAGTAGCAAAGCAGATAGTTAACCAGTGTCTTGCTTCTTTACAGTTTGGCTTCTGCCTTCACAGTTGCACAGAAACTTCCCTTCTGGCCACTAATGATTCCCTAGTAACCAAGTCTAGTGATCTCTTTCATGTCTTAAAGTCATAGGCTTTCTTATAGCATTTGATACTGTGAACCACTCCTCCTTGTGGATATTCTCTTCACTATCCAAAGTATTGTTACATTGTCCTAGCTTTTGCCTCTCCTTGTTCTGTTTCCTTTGCAGGAATTCTTCCTATACCCCTTAGCGTTGTCATTTTGTTCATCTTCTCTTTAACACACTTTACTTTGTAATCTATTTACACACATAGCTTTAACTACCACCTCTGGGCAGGTAATTCTCAAATTTCTCTTTCAAAATTTTAGGGGCCCTATATCCAGGTATGAGTTGTTGTGGGTAATGGGTGTCTCTGATTTAGAGTTCCAAGGGACCTTTGAGTTGATTAAGTCCAACCTTTTCAATGTGCATAAGTAGAGACATGTTAAATGTCCATACAGCTTTTAAGTATCTTAGGCCGAATTTGAATGTAAGTTTTCTGGATCCTCAAGCCCAGTACCCTATTCATTAATCCATGCTGCCTTTTACAAAGTACCCTTTCTTCACTTTATCCTCAAATGTTTTTGATAAATCTGAAAAAATGTACCTTTTACAGCACTCCCAAAAGGTCAAGAATTTTGAGAATACTTTAGAAAGCTGTCTCACAGGAATTAGAGTTTGGGCTTTTTTTTTAACCTCCTTTTTGCACCACATCCCACAATAAATTCTTAAGGAGTATGTCCTGAACAACTCATACACTTCTAGTGTATTATTGAGTTTCTCTGCTGTATCCCCTTTATTAAACTTTTAAGCTCTGTGTCCAGGCGCCTTTATGTGTCTTAAACTTTTAGTTTCTCCAGTACCTAATGTAGTGAGTGTTCCTCATACAGTCGTTATTTAATAAGATTTTGTTTAATTCACATTTATAATAAGAGCCTGTCATTTTTAGATTAGTTTATACTAAGTATAGGAAGAAAGTATTATTAACTGTGAATTTGAACTATGAATCATTATATCTTATTAAGCAAATTGAGGCTCATTGTAAAGTGTTAAAAATAAAAAATCTTTTCAGATAGCATTTTAGTATTTTTGTTGCCTTTTTATGTTAAGAACCTCTCTTAAGAATTATACATTAAATTTCTAATTTTACAGGCCAAGCATGAAACTGGTAAAATTCAGAAAAGGAGACAGTGTGGGTTTACGTTTGGCTGGTGGTAATGATGTAGGAATCTTTGTAGCTGGAGTTCTGGAAGACAGTCCTGCTGCTAAAGAAGGCTTAGAAGAAGGTGACCAAATTCTCAGGGTATGTCAGTATATTGTGCAATTTTAAAATTCTTGTAGAATTAGAAAGAAATATCAAATAGAGAAGCCATTAGATTATAACTTTCAATGCTATTCTCTTAGGCCAAATAGCTAAACGTTTATAAAGGAGGATTCCTGCAAGTACAGGACTTGTGCTATGATAATATGGTAATGCAACTGACATTTTTACATTAGCCAGTAGTTTTATGATGTTATTTGATGGATCAGAACTTGTATAAAAACTGTCTAAAGGATAAAGTTCAAACTCCTTAACTTGGCATGTAAACAGACCTTTTATATCCCAGCCTATCTTTCCAAACTTATTTTTTGCTTCTCCTGTGGCACAAACCCTCTACTACAACCACACTGAACTACTCATTGTCACCCGAATTCTTCCTATTTTTCTGTTTCTCTGTCTTTACTCATATTGTTCCTCCTTCATCAGATGCCCTTCTCTTACCTATCAGAATTCTAGCCATGGTTCAAGGTTCCTGAACTGGAATGGACCTTAGATAATGTATTCCAACTCCTTTATTTTGTAGCAGTAGTTGGTGTCTTTGCTTATTTTGTAATTAGTTATTAACTGCCTTGTGGCACACTTGCAATTGTTCATCACATACCATTGTTTATTTAGTTCTGTGCATACTAGGTGGTGGAATGGATAGTGTTCTGTACCAGAATCAGAAAGATCTGTTGAAATCCAATCTCAGACACATACTGTGTATCCCTGAGCACGTGTCAGCCTCCATTCTCTTACCTGTAAACTGGGAATAACAGTAACACCTACTTCTCAGATGTGTAAAGCTAGCTGCTATTATTATTATTATTATTGTTTTATTTTCTTCACAGTACTTTATAGTTGCTATGCCCTTAATAAATACTTCTTTGCTAGGATTTGAATTGCATTGACTATAACAGATACTTAATTCAAAAAGGGCTGGATCGTGTGGACCATGAAAAACAGTACAGTTTTATAGGGGTTTTAGAATCATAATTATTAATAATTTATCTTATTGATTGTGATTTTAAGAATGTTTTTCCATGAATGGCATAATGGTTATATTGTTTTCAACTTACCATTCTTAGAATATACTTAAATTCCAAAAGGTATAATGATTAACTTCTTGTAAACTTAATTAAAATGAGGGATTCATTACTAATGAATCTTCTCATATAATGGAAAATTAATATGAATGAATATAATAGTGTTTTAAAGCATGGAACAAATTTCTAAATGTTTACATTATTGATATCCTGCTGTAGGGAAGTACCACTGCCTTTATTTTCATTCAAAATATCTCTCTTCATTCCATTTCTCAGTTTTATTTTTGTTAGAATGGCATAATATAATGATTTTCTTATGTATTTACCATCAGCCATTTTTAGAAGTAGCCTTCTAAAGATATTTTTGTTTTTTTAAAGAAAAAAGTTGAATTGGTAATTGTTTTTTAGAAGTGGGGATTTTCCACCTTTCTTTAGAAAAGGAAAATCTTGCGTTGTCGGGGGTGTGTGTGTGTGTGTGTGTGTGTGTGTGTGTGTGCGCGTGTGTGTGTGCGCGCGCGTGTGTGTGTGCGCGTGTGTGTGTGCGCGCGCGCGCGTGTGTGTGTGTGTGTGTGTATGTATGTTCATTTGTTTTTGGTGAGGGAATTGGGTTTAAGAGATTTGCCTAGGGTCACAAAGCTAGTGTCTGAAGCCGGATTTGAACTCAGGTACTCCTGGCTTCAGGGTGGGTGCTCTATCCACTGTGCAACCTAGCTGCCCCTTGCATTGTGTTTTGTGGTTTAGTTAGGCCTGCCTTTTTATCCTCTATTTATTTATTTGTTTGTTTTAAATTAATTTATTTGTTTTTAGTTTTCAACAATCCCCAGATCCTGGAAGCAGAGCCAGGCCTACCTTTTTATCTAAGGATATTTTGACTTTAAATTGCCTTATAATACACTCAGGTTTTATTTAAACATTTTGAATCAAACTGTTTTCTTTTTCTGAGGCCCACTTTAAAAAACAAAGCAAACAAAAGCTATAGGATATTGTGTTAGATAACCCTGAAAATCAGGTGAGGGTTTTTTGTTTTGTTTAATATTGCATAAATAACCTACATTGTACATCATAGGATGATTTTTATAAACTACATTCTAACAGGTAAACAATGTAGATTTCACAAATATCATCCGAGAAGAGGCTGTGCTTTTCTTGCTCGACCTCCCTAAAGGAGAAGAAGTGACAATCTTGGCACAGAAAAAGAAGGATGGTAAGTTATTTTCATAGAGTTAAACCAACATAAAAAAAAAGAAATATAAAAACATATAGAGAAGGGTTACTGTAGAGGAAGCAGTTTTCAATATTAAATAGTGATTTATTAGATTTTTCTGTAATATAATCAGTAAAGGAAAACTAGAACTGCACCTCAGTTGGTTTCATTGATAAAATAATTTATCTGTTAGCAACTCTCTTGTGGCATATATGAGAGAGTAATGATCATAGATAAAATTGGCGAAACAGGATCCTTTTTGAGTATACTCCATTGAGAAAAATGAGACTCCTATTAATATGAAATTTTTATGGTAATAAGTTCATTTTAGTAGTTTACTTAATATTTTAAGGAGATTTCTTCCTCCCACTAAATTTTCCAAACTTGGGTTTTTTATTTAGAAAATTTAAACAAATTCATTGAGAGCTGATAATTTTTTTTTAATCCTTATATCTCAAGTCCCTGGAATGTTTCCATGTGTTATAGCTGTCTGATAATTGTTTATCAAATTTAATTAAATCTTAAAAGTAAAATCATGCCACAGTTTTAAAAAATTAAATATTACTTACTCAAATTAATTTCTGATCTTTTGAACCATTGAGGCAGTTATGTGGCTCAGTAGATGGAGCACTTGCTTGTGTAGTCAGTAATACTTGAATTCTAAACCTGACTAATTATACTTATTTGATATGTGACCCTTAATTTCTGTTATCCTCAGTTTCCTCTACTGTAAAATGGAGATTATAATAGCACCTGCTTAATCAGGGTTGTTGTGAGGTTCAAATGAAATATATTTGTAAAACACACGATGCTTAGCATATAGTAGGTGATTGATAAATATTACCTTCCTTTTCATTGATGTTCTACATGTTTATTTTGTTTTGTTTCAGTTTATCGTCGTATTGTAGAATCAGATGTAGGCGATTCTTTCTACATTAGAACACACTTTGAATATGAAAAGGAATCTCCTTATGGGCTTAGTTTCAACAAAGGAGAAGTGTTCCGTGTAGTGGATACCTTATACAATGGAAAACTGGGTTCTTGGTTGGCTATACGAATTGGCAAAAATCATAAGGAGGTAGAGAGAGGCATAATCCCTAATAAGAACAGGTATGATTAGATAATTCTTCTCTTGAAGTAAATTAAATGAATGGTACATGTGAAATGATATATCTAGTAATAGAAGTAAATTTATTGAATATGAGCTAATACAAATCATTGTGTTCAATGCTAAAAATTGTTTGCTGTTATAAGAGATCCTCAAATTATACTGAGATTAAGATTTAAATAACATTTGATTAGACTGTTTCAAAAGTTAATTTACTTGTGGGTCTTTTTTCTCATGGTATATTTTTAATATAGAGCTGAGCAGCTAGCTAGTGTTCAGTACACACTTCCAAAGACAGCAGGAGGAGATCGTGCTGACTTTTGGCGATTCCGAGGTCTTCGTAGCTCTAAAAGAAACTTACGTAAAAGCAGAGAGGATCTCTCTGCTCAACCATTTCAAACTAAGTTTCCTGCTTATGAACGAGTTGTTCTTCGAGAAGGTAGGTTTCTTTTTAAGGATTGGCCTGTTCACTACCTACCATATTTTGTTAAATAAAAGTATCTTAAATTAATTGCTTTCACTGAAATTGTTTCTCTGATATAGCTGGATTTCTCAGACCCGTAACTATATTTGGACCAATTGCTGATGTTGCAAGAGAGAAACTAGCAAGAGAAGAACCAGATATTTATCAAGTAGCAAGTGAGTACCATTTAGACTATTGGTTACTGATTCCAGATGAGGGGGTAGGAATACCTCTTTACTCCCCACTGCCACTTTTAAAATCCCCTTTTGTCATCATCACTCACAACTTCTCCTCCTTAGATGTCTACTCTATGCAGATTGTAATAGCTGTTGTCTGCTTAGTTTCCTGGGGCAGCTAGGTGGCACAGTGCATAGAGTGCTATGCCTGAAGTTAGGAAGATTCATCTTCTGAGTTCAAATCTGGCATCAGACATTTAGCTGTGTGACCCTGAGTAAGTCATTTAATCCTGTTTGCCTCACTTTCCTCAGCTGTAAAATGAGCAGGAGAAGGAAATGGCAAACCACTCCAGTATCTTTGCTAAGAAAACTCCAAATGAGTTCACAAAGAGTTGGACGTGATTGAAAAACAAAAATGACTGAAAACAACAAAAACTTAGCTCCCTGGTAATTCACCTTTCTTTCTCAAGGAATTCAGCACCTGGCTTCGTCAACATTGTGTTCTCCACAATTTCTACACTTTTCCTAGGATAATTATTCTACCCTATCTACCTTATCCTAGGTGAATTCAATGTTCTTTTTGATGTTCCTTCAAATACCTTAAACTCCCTATTCTTTAGTCTCCTCAACCCCATTTCAGCCACACATAGTGGAGAGTCAAAGAGGATGATTACAATTAGGTTTCCACCATTCAATCCCCACAAGTATTTTACTTCCTCAGTCAAAAATTCTGAAATTCCTCTATCTTACCATGCATTTCTTTTTATACCTCACACCTCCTCACCCAGTCCTTGCCCTCACTGCAACCTTTAGTCTTGCTACCCCTCAGTAATTTCTCAGTGTTTTCTCTGACTTCAATTTCTTCCCAATCTCAATCCAAACCTGTAATTAAACAACTCAACTCCATCCTGTCCTCTACTTTCAAATATCTTGCCTCCTTATTACTGCTCATCTCTTGCTGAACCCTCATCCTTGGATTATTCCTACCATCATTGGCTTCCTCTACTCCTACTTGAGTACTGCTGAACAAAATGAAATTACACAACTGTCCTGACTAGGTATGCTATGCATTTGTTACCTAACTTATGTTGGACTTATATTGGACCCTCACTGCAGTGAGACAGTACTTTTATTCCTCCCTCATTGATTTTCTATTTCATTTCTAGAATCTTCTCCACTAATCATAATCTTTTCCATTCTCTTCAAGTCTTCTGTATTAGACATTTCTCTGGCCTCTCACCTGAGGACCTTGCCTTTTACTTTACTGAAAAAAATTTAGATCATTTGCTGTATTTCCTCTTCTTCCTTTTTCATCTCAAAATCCCTGAACTCCACCCTCCTCTTTTCTCCTTTTCCTCTTCTCTTTCAAGGCCAACTCAGCTCTCTGTCCTTCTGTTTTCCATGGAGTCATGCAACTTCATTCTTCTCTTTCTATTTTTTTTCACTATTTCCTTCAGACACACTCATGTCTCCTCTTCCCTTAAAAATATTCCCCAAACCTTTCTGTGAAACTGTTGTCCCATATCTCTTCTCCCTTTGCACAGCCATACTTCTAGAAAAAGCCATTTAACCCATTGCCCCCCTTCACTTTCACTCCCTAGCTCTTTGTAGTCTGTCTTGCAACCTTATCGCTCAACTGAAATTGCTCTATGATTTTTAATTGCCAAATCAGATGTTCTTTATTACTTCTAGACCTTGATTACTCTGCTGTGTCAATTTGACACAATGTTTATTATGTAAATTCTTATATATACACATTATCTCCTCAGTAGACTGTGTTTTAAAAGTACTCTTGTTTTTTCTTTTATATTGGCATTTCACAGTACCTAGCACAATCTCCCTTTTCTCCTCCCTAGACATGTTGCTATTTTTCCAGGGTCACCCATTGTTTGAGGTAGGATTGGAACCATGTCTTCCCAACTCCTAGCTTAGCACTCTATCCAGTATATTACATTGCCTCATCAGTAGTCCCTTTTTTTTTGTAAAATAAGTTTCCATTAAGACACTACATAAAATTGTTTATATTTTATATATATCAACACATGTCTTTGAATTGATATCCTTTTTGGGATTTTAATTTTTTGCTACATTTTATATGCAGAATTTGGTATTTATAATATATACTGCACACATTTACACAGAAAGGGTAAGAGAAGATACATTCATGATGTGTTTTATAATGACTGTGATCTTAGTTCTAATGAAGTTTAGTCTTTTTACTCAACACTGACTACTTTTTCAGGACACTCTTACATTAGTAGAGTCAATTCCTGTCCTGTTAACATTAGAAAAAAATAATACATCTTAGCTATAGCAATTCTCTTTTTCTCCTTTACCTTAATGAGGGTCTTTCCCCTTTTCCAACTGTTGCTAGAACTATAGCTCCTTTTGCCACTTAGAATTTATCTCTAACTCTTTGATGTGCCTAAGTTTTTGAAGGCTAGGTCTGAGGATAGTGGGACATGGGAAGAGAAAGGAGATAAAATCTAACCTGCTTCTGTGTGGTGATGTGGTCCCAGGTGTCTGGTGTGCCATACTTAATTATCAGAATTAAACTTTACCTTAGTATGTTTACAGTGGTCTCATGGTGATGTTAGTTATTTACATTTATATTGTACTAGATGATGCTTTCCTCAAAATAACTCTCTGTGTGAATAGATACTCAAAGAATCCCACAATCTGGTTCTAACCTTCATTTCCAGTCCTATGCCATACCTGTGTTTCATGAATCCTATACTTCAGGCAAACTGAGCTACTTATTATTTCCCTAGAATGCCATTCTATGCCTTTTACTTAGGCTGTTTCCTCTGCGTAGAACATCCCCCTCTATCACAATTTGTTAAAGTCATTCCTATTTATTTGGGCCCAACTCAAATACGATTTTCCTGATTCTTCCTCCGTGAACCTACCTCCCACCCCCCTTTCTTCAAGCTTGAAATGATCTTTTTTTTAAAATACGTATACTTATGATAATTTATACCTTCTATTATATACCTAATCATACCTCATATTATATTATGCTTATTTATCAGCATTTTATTTACCTTATTATACTGTTTTTATAACTGTTACGGTAGTCATGTAATAAACACCTATTATTGATATAGAGTTTGTAATTTCATCAGCAGTTTGTATATATATTTCTTTTTCTATAGCTGCACCACTACTTTTTCTACCTTTAATTATTTTTGTCAGTTTGGTTGTGAGGCATTAACCTAAAAATTGTTTTAATTTACATCTGTTTGATTTATCAGTTGTATATATTTTTGACTTATAGTCAAGTATTTATTTAAAATTTCTGTTTCATCTTTGAAAAGTTATCTATTCATATCCTTGAACCATTGGGTAACTACTCCCCCTTATAAATTGTGTCTATTCCTTTGAAACTCTAGATACTCAATTTTTTTTCCATGAAGGTTTTTTCTTAGATCTTTTTCTTCAAGGCCCAGCTCAACTTCTTTTATAAAGTTTTCGTTGATTTTTTTTCCATCTGCATGTCTAAGCACCCTATGTGCCCTTCCCCCAAACCCCTCCAAGATAAATATGCCCTTCTTAAATATCTACTTTTCTTGAATATTACTACTTTCTAGTCATTTATGTATTTTATTCTTCCCCTCCCCCAATTTTGAGGCCCAAGCCTGTCTTATTTTCTTGTTATATCCCCATGTAGTAGCTTATTTATGTCATTAAATTCAGTAACTGTTTGTTAAATTGAGATTTATGTGGAAAAAATGTTATAGGGTAGCAACTACATTCTTGAGGTACATTAATAATTAGTTGGGTTTTTGTCAGTTTATCACAAAACATAATTACCATTTATTATAATTCATTTGGGATTCTAAATAACGAGATTACAAATGAATGTTTGGAATACAACCTGTTTATGAGCTGAGTCACTTATATTTCCAGTATTTTTTTGATGGTGTCTTCAAAATTTGAATAACTATTTTTCATTTACTAGAAAGTGAACCTAGAGATGCTGGCACTGACCAGCGGAGCTCGGGAATTATACGTCTTCATACTATTAAGCAAATTATCGATCGGGTAAGTTGTAGAATCAATAATTCATATTCTGTCACACCAATTAGAAGCATAACAATCAATAATAAAAGCTAGCATTTATTTAGCACTTTAAGGTTTGCAGAAACGTGACAAATATTATCTTGTTTTATCCTTAAGACTACTGTGGGTCCTGTTACTGTTCCCAAATTTTCATACGAGGAAACTGAGACACAGAGAGGTTAAGTGACCTTCCTAGGGTCACATGGCTAGTAAATGTCTGAGACTGAATTTGACCTCAAATCTTAACCTTGAATAACAATTAAATTTTGTACTTATATTGTTAGATGTGAATTTTGATTTCATTTTTTCTACTTTATGTTGTGTTTATGTGGTATCTAGACCATTCTAATATTTTTATTCAGGGAATGAATAATACTGGCATATTTTCCCCCCAGATTATGTTACTATATATTTAGGTGAGGTACACATAACTTGTATTATAAGTAGCTTTAAGATGAACTATTTTAGCGATAATTTAATAAAATGCAATTTTAATTCTACTAGTCATTGCATGAAATTAACTCATAATCCTGTATTTAAAATAAATAATAACGACAGAATGATTTTGCTCAGATTGTTTAATTTTGCAATCTGTGGTGATTTTACAGTTGTGGAGTTTTTACATTCTTTGGCTAGAGTATCATTTTCTGAATTGGTAGTTCTTTGAAGAGAGTTACATGTCTGGAATCTTGACTTTTTTTTTCCTTACGCAGGATAAACATGCTTTATTAGATGTAACACCAAATGCTGTTGACCGTCTAAATTACGCACAGTGGTATCCCATTGTGGTATTCCTCAACCCTGATTCCAAACAGGGTGTTAAAACAATGAGAATGCGATTGTGTCCAGAATCACGGAAGAGTGCCAGAAAATTATATGAACGATCTCATAAACTTCGTAAAAATAATCATCATCTTTTTACAAGTGAGTATACTCAAGAAAACCTTAAAAGCCAGTTATTAGAAAGTTCTGCATAAGGAGTCTACTTACGCACAGTTCTTCATAGCAAAATTTATTCTTTTCCTGTGAATTTCTTGGCTTCCAGAAATTTATCATCGATCTTATCCTAGCAATATCAACCACTTTTTAAAGGGAAATAGCATTTCATAATTGGGACAGTCAGTAGGGCGGTTACCTTTCCCTACAAACATTTCCATCTATCTTGCAAGTAATATAATACCTCCTTTTGGTGGTTGAGCTGAAAGGAGAACTTACATCTCAGTTTCTGGTATCTTATTATCCACAAGACCAAATTAATACTTTGTTATTTTCAGCTACTATTAATTTAAATTCAATGAATGATGGTTGGTATGGAGCACTGAAAGAAGCTATTCAGCAACAGCAAAACCAGCTGGTTTGGGTTTCAGAAGGAAAGGTAAGCAATTTCACTAATACTGTTTCAGAAGTTTGTCCTGTATTTCAGGATTTTGTATTTTTGATGTCTCTGAGTTGCTATATCATGTAAGTGACAGTAATACAAGGGGAGGGGTTGGGGAAGCAAGGAATAAACTTTGGTTCAATTAGAGACAAAAAATTATGTCTGACATATGAATTTTAAACTACTTTTACTGGGTATTAAAGCTCTAACAGCTTGAGAATTCTGATTAGTCCATTCACTGAATTGCTACCTCATTAAAAGGTCTTAGACCATGTATTTGGGAGATAAGCTTTATTACTGTTTATTACTATTAAATATTTTTTGCTATTTAATTTTATACAAAATCTTGATGGGCATTCCTTTTCACGATAAATTTAATGTTTTCCCCAACTAAAAGCAAAGTAACTTTTTAGTTCCTTTTGCCATCTTTATTTCATATGATCCTAACAGTGCAGTATAATAACTTTGTCAGTTTTTCTTAAGCTTAGTATATAGACTATAAGAGAAAATTGTGGGTATCTATGTGGTATTTTTTTTGTTTGTTTGTTTGTGGGGTTTTTGTTGTTATTTTATTGCTGTGATGATGGTGCTATTTTGCCCCAACTCTTTTCCCTATCCACTCCTCACCCTCCTCCTGGGCATGGCCCCCATTTTCCTCTACCTGGCTGTTTGTCTACAGGAGCTCTGGCAGTGCATGCTGCATGTTTAAGACAACAGTGCCTATTCAGAAAAAATATACAGCCTTTGCAAGAAGATATAAAAGTTTCACATTTAGAATTAACATGTATTTCAGAATTACGGTTTTTCTTCTGCCAGTTTAGGGGTTACAAGTAGTTCATGTGTATTCAAAAGACAAGGTTGATTAACTGACATTTCAAGTAGGACACTTTACACAGTAGAAAAGTAAGTGGAGGAAACCACTTAACCACTTTTATGACAACACTTTGACTATATGATTAGTTTTTACTCTCACAGCACTCAGTAAAAATAGTTGTACTCATATTCTTAGTATTATGACATTAATATTTAAGATAACATTGTTATTATAACATTCTCCTCATCCAATGATAATAGAAAATGGAGCCTAATTTATGCAGATCAATTCTTTAAAGCCATCTGCTGAGAAAATATATTTAAGTAAAATTACAGAAAATATGCTTAAAATTGTTGCTAGTAAAAACTCCCTTCGATTTTCTTTAACGTATTCTTCTGAGATTGTTATGACCTTCCTACTTTGCTGCCCCAAATTTCCTCTTTCCATCCTTACAAAATGAATTGAATCTTTTATCATTATGATAATTTTGAAAATTAGAATACATTAAAATCATAAATGTTTAGATCAAGTTTTATTTTGCTTGTGTCCACTTATATGTCTTCAAGATGAATAGATGAATTTCCCACTTAAAACTACTTCAAGTAACATTGACTCCTCTGTCAAAGTTTCAGTGACTTTAAAGGAGTGTCCTTCCTGAGATAGTCTTATGGTCACCCAATCAAGCCATGAAGAGTCATCAGAATTCCCTTTATTGAATTTCTTAAAAGATGTTGGTATGGCAGCATTTCTTGGTTCTAAGTCAACCCATGCTTCTTGTTTCCTTCAGTGTCTACAATCTCCATAATTCTTAAGATGATCAGCTACCTCAGGGAACTGAAAACAAATAGTGGGTGGGTGAAGTGGTTAATTCTGAATGATTCTTCCCCTAAGACATTACCACCTGAGTGGTCACTGGAAACTTAGGAGTGATGGACAATATAGGTCAACAAACTCCTTTTTGTTGGGATCAAGAGAGTAAAGCCATAGAAGTTTCTTACCTAGTACACTGAAGAGCTCTAAGTCTTTCATCTAGGCAAGATGTTCTGCTGAAAGCAAGAGCTTTATTGCTACATGGCAGACATTGGTCTAATGTACTAGGGAGGCAGTGCTCAGAGTCATGTCCCAGGCTGCCACCTGATGCACACAGTACTGGAGTGCCTGACATAGAATTGGGACTTGTTTTCTTGGAAAATGCCAGTTGATAGAGTTAATGGAGAACCACAATTCTGGCATAGCACAGTGGAATCTTCAATTCCATGCCAGATAGCCTACTTCTAGCACTTCACCACTCTAAGAAGGAATTTTTCACTTTGATGTACTGCTTCAGATTGTGAAGGATGCCCACTCAACCACCCACTCCCTTCAAAAAGAAAAGGAAAAGAAAAGAAAAACAATACTAAACCCTCTGGATTCTGCTTCAGAATTTAGATGTACCCAGGGGCATCCTCTTTTTGAGGGTGGTGCTTTAATAACTGGACTATACTATTGAGCCTGGTAAACAATTTCATATTAATAGCAGTCAGTGACAGGTTGGGGATTTCAGATTTAGAAAGTACTTTTCCCCAGCATTTCTCATTTTTCTTCTCTTCTATGCTGAAGGAACCTGGAATGTTTGAATCAGTTCATGTCTTAAGTACTTAATAACTACATTTCTTTATCTTTTGGAAACTTCTCTTATAAGGAATCATTTGTTTCTTCCTATGTTTTAAGGGGGAACCATCTCTCTGTAGTGATACTTTTCCATAGCACTTTCCAGAAAACCTTCAAACAAATATCAGCTTCAACTTTTTTTAAGAGTTGTTTTCTAAAGGTAGTACTTTGTTCTGGCTCGAGTGGAGTTATTCCATTGGTTATGACAGTTTTTCTTCCATTGCTGTTAAATCAGTATGCTGGTGCTTCTGCAAGTTTGCTCATTGGCATTCTCTTTCTTCTTCATGCCCTGGGATAGAAATCCAGTAACTAGCCTTTATAGGCCAGGATGATACAGAGGTCCTTCATTGCCTCTTTTGGTTGGGTTCCTAAGACTTGGATTAGCCAACATCTGATTCATCCAAAAGTTTCAACTAACAAAAGGATGCTCTGTGTGTCTGCATGTGTGCTTGTACGGTTCTTCTTGACCTTTACCCATCATAAATTTGAAGCAAGTAGATTTGATTTTTCCAGAGGAGAATAGCCTTTTCAGTCTCCCCTTGTAAAAATAAAGGTCATCTCTTTAAAAATATTAAATAAAGTTTTTAATTTACTTTTATTTGACCCAGGCGGATGGTGCTACAAGTGATGACCTTGATTTGCATGATGATCGTCTATCCTACCTGTCAGCTCCAGGTAGTGAATACTCAATGTATAGCACGGACAGTAGACACACTTCTGACTATGAAGACACAGATACAGAAGGTGGGGCCTACACTGATCAAGAACTAGATGAAACTCTTAATGATGAGGTTGGGACTCCCCCGGAGTCTGCAATTACACGGTCCTCTGAACCTGTAAGAGAGGACTCCTCTGGAATGCATCATGAAAGCCAAACATACCCTTCTTATTCACCACAAGCGCAGCCACAACCAATTCATAGAATAGACTCCCCAGGATTTAAAACAGCCTCTCAACAGGTAAGCAGCAAACATTAAACATTTTCTAGCTGTAGGTGCATTATTCAGTTTTAAAATGTGGGAATTGATGTAAAGAGAGTATATATATTTTATCCTTTTTCCAGACAAAGATTAGTCGCTAACTTGGATGTGAGAATATTAAGAACTTCTAAGTCTTATAAATGGTTTCACTTAATATAATATATAAAAGTGGTATAATAATTTCCCAACAGCTAGAATGAGGCAGTAATTTTTTTCTAGTACACTTAAACTATGTGTACATAATATACATACATATATATGTGTATGTATATATATGTATGTATAAAACAAAACCTTAAACTAAAATGGAAAATCAGCAGTGTACCAGAAGCACTGTATTTAAAATATTTTAAACACTTCACAGAAAGCAGAAGTCTCATCTGCAGTCCCTTACCCTTCGTCTGAAACACACCATGCATCAACCTCTGCAGTTAATCCTAATGTAAATCTAACTAATATCCAACTGGAGGAGCCAGTCCCAGCTCCTTACAACTCCTATCAGCCACAACCGGGCCCCTTAACACCACCAAGTTCTGAGACATCTCAAATAGTGCTAAGAGACCAAGAACCATCATTGTCGTCGCATGTAGATCCGGCAAAGGTACCCGTGCTGCACTGTTGCACTAACTTGCTGCTGTCCCAAGCTAGCACATGAACGTTTTTTGCTTTGCCCCTTTTAAGGATTCCCTTTGCTTTTTACTATGGGCTTATGTAGTTTAATGCATTTAAATCAGTAAGAATTATTAAATGTTTTAGCTTGCATGGCTTCCAGATGTATATTTATTGTCTAACAGTGGATCTTTTCAATCAAAGATTTTTGCTGAATATTTTTATTTCTAAGCTTATTTTTTTATTTATTGCCAATTCCTTATTGCTTACCCAAGAACCTTGATGAAAAACCTCACTGAAAATTATACTGTGCTTATCTTTATATTCTTAATTTCAAATACAAAAATTAAGTGAAAAAATAGCTCAGCAAATCATAACTTGGTTACTTTTTAAATAGCTGAATTATTTCTTATTTAGCTTTATTTTAGTAGATTCTGACACCAGTGACATCTGCATTTTAAATTTTGGGCTTTCTTTTAATCAAAATAACAACCTAGTAATTGGCCTTTTCCTCTAATCTAAATGTAAGCTTGTAATTGTTAGCAGAAAATACCTTTTTTTCAGGTTGTTAATTTGTTTTATACAATAAAATTTGACTGGGATTATAAACCAATGTTTACAGCCAAGTTTATGTGTTCTGCCTAGGTATATAGAAAAGAACAATATACTGAAGAACCACCAAGACAAAATTATGTTATGAAACAGCTGCCCATTAACCACCCAGTGCAGAGACAAGAAAAAGAATCTAATATGAGCTATGAACCTCAACCACCTTATGCAGAAAAACAATCCAGTAGAGATATTGAACCACCTACCCTTAAGTATGATTCCACCAATTATACAGATCAGTTGTCTCGAAGCTATGACCCTCGCCTGCATTATGATGATCATCGCACACCTTCTTATGAAGATCAGTGGTCATATTATGATGACAAACAGCCTTACCAACCAAGGCCTTCCTTTGATAATCAGCACCCTCGAGACTTTGACCCTAGACAGCATCCTGATGAGGCTTCAGAACGTGCTTACTTTCCAGGACAACCTCGTTTTGAAGAACCAACCCCAGTATCTTACGATAGTAGGTCACGCTATGAACAACCCCCTAAAAACTCTAATGTACGATATGAGGAACAACCAGCTTCTGGGTATGATATTCATGGTCGATATAAATCAGAAGCGCAGCCTTACTCTTCAGCAATGTCCAAGTCTTCTGAAGCCAAGCAGTATTTTGATCAGTACCCTCGAAGTTGTGAACAGGTACCGCCACAAGGGTTTAATGCCAAAGTAGGGCATTATGAGCCTTCTTCTCATGGCTCTACAGGTGTTCCTTCTCTAATTCCTTCATCTCAAAAGACAGAAGTGCTTCCTTCAAACACCAAACCACTTCCACCACCACCTACTATAATTGAAGATGAGGAAGATCCAGCAATGAAACCACAATCTGTGCTTACTAGAGTCAAAATGTTTGAAAACAAAAGGTCAGCATCATTAGAAAGTAAGAAGGACATTAATGACACAGCTACTATTAAGGTAAATATGTAAAGGAAAAAGAATTTTTATTATTACTTTATTATTATTATCACTTAATATAAAAGTAGTTTTAAAATGTCTTATTTTCTATTCTTAAACCTTGAAGTTTAGTGACTTCAAAGATATAATTTGTTATCTTTTCCCCCCCATAGCCCCCAGAAATAGCACCTAAACCTGCAGTTGCTCCCATCAGTGGTCCTAAATCTACTTCTCAAAATCAGTTCAGTGAGCATGATAAAACACTGTACAGGTGGGTATATTGCCATTTAATTTAAAAAGTTTGGGTTGTAATATAAAACTACATTTTTGGTTATTTATCCATTCAGTTCAATAAGACCACTTTTACTCCTATTAAGGTAGTACTAGGGACTGGATCTGTGATTTCCATTGACAAGACACCTTCTCCACAACTTAGTACTAGGGGGTTGCTTAGAACATGAGGTTAAGTAACATAGCCATCATACCTTAGAAGGAGGAATTAACACAAATCTTTCTGGCTTTAAGGGCCAGCTCTCTATACACTGCTCTATAGTGCCTCTCTTAGTGTAGTGAAAAGGGAAAAAATGAGATGAGAAGAATTAATTGTATGACTAAAATAAAAATCAGCTGCTCTTATATTCAGTTGGCTTAAGTATGGGATAAATTAGGAAGGAAAGGTGAAAAGTCTAATTAACAATCCTTAAATTGCCTTGCTTTTAAGTGAGGAAGTTATACTATACAAAAGGTTTCTGGCTAGTAAGCCTTTTATAGCTCTAGTTTGGAAAAAAAAAAACTTTTAAAATAAATTTTAGTGTCCTCCAGACATTGATGTATTATTGATCATGTCACAAAATTTACTTTAGCTCTTTATACTTTGTCATTCTTTCTCGACTACATTCCATATTTCCCTGCCTTCTTAAAGTTTATCGGACACAATTGAACCTTACTTTGAGTCATCATTATAGGCATGAATATATTATAGCACAATACAATTAGTGTTGCCCTTGTGGTCTCTTTGTCCTTTGCTATACATGATCACAGGATTATGGTTCAAACCCTATGTGTCAGCATGTACTTTTGGTAACATTGATAACAATTTGCTATTAGACTACCATTGGCCACTTCTTCCTACTATCATTATGCCTCTAGAAATATCTTCCACTTTTAACTGCTTCTAATGTGCTACAAGCTAGGATAACAGTAAACCTAGCTTGTTATGATTGTGTCTGAAATAGGCAAAAATCTGTCAGGCATTTGTGAGTAGAGTGCTTGAGGTTGAATCCTTGGACTTTGTGACATGTGTCTTGGTTGCTTGAGCTATCTAATTCTGTAGGAAGGCTCTGGAAACTAGAAGTTAACAGGTAAATAAGGTATTTTATACATTCATTTGATTTTAAAGAGAAAAGTGTAGGATATGCTACAATAGCCTGTCTTCCAGTTCTGTCTCTGTATCTTTGAAATTGTCATTGTAAACTTTACATCACCTTGAGTTTGAGTGACTTATATATATGATCATGTACTAGGTCCCCAGAACCACAGAAACCTCAGATAAAAGCACCTGAAGATATTGTTCGTTCAAATCACTATGATCCTGAGGAAGATGAGGAATACTATCGAAAGCAACTTTCGTATTTTGATCGGAGAAGTTTTGAAAACAAACCTTCAGCACAAGTCCCTGCCAGCCATCTCATAGAGTCTGCCAAACCAGTTCATTTTCCAAATCAACTAAGTTTTTCTAGTTATTCTAAGTAAGTTATTTAACTTGAGATGACACAAATAAGCTGTCATCTTACCTTGTAAGATTGAATTTATCAGGAGAATTTTAATAGATGGAGAAGTGATGTGTGCTTTTTAATAAGCTTTAAAAACATAAGTGTATATATAGATGATTTATAATTCAGGAGTTTTAGACAGCTATGAAGAGTTCATACTAAAGTATAGTCTAAGAAGGTAGCATTCAGCTTGTAGGAGAAAGAATTCATAGGTAAAATACACACATAGAAGCATAGGTAAAGTTTGTTCTTCCTTTTCCTTAAGACACAGGGATGTCGGTGGGGTATAGAATACACAGCCATAATTCTTTTATCAGGCCCTTCTTGTATTTGTAGGGCCAGTATTTTCAATTAAAAAATTGAAAAGAATACTGACTCTGGGGTCCTAGGACCTGGATTTGGATTCCTCTTGACATTAGTCCTTGTGTGACCCTGGGCAAGTTACTGAACCTCTGAATCGTCCTTTCCTGTTTGTGAAATAAGGAGGTTGGGCTAGAGAGCCCCTGAGGTCAGTCTAATGAGGTGGCTTATTGAGTAGAGTAGCTCTGGGACTCTGGACAAGTCACTTAACCTTTCACCACCTGTTTCTCCAGATGTAAAATAAAATGGGGAATAAAAAAATGTCATCAAGATTGAACAAGATGTTATGTATGTGCACACATGCATGTACTCAAAGAGCTTGGCAAAACTTAACATGCTATATAAGTGCTAGCTGTCATTATTTTTATTATCCTATGTTTTTTTTCCACTTGTCTTCTCTCATGACATTTTTAGTGCAGAAAATAATCATAAAGAATCGTAGAATTAGATGAAATAAAGCTCCACACAACAAATGGTATATGAGGAATAAAGTCATAGTGAATACTGTCCTACTTTCACTGTTGGAAGATCCAGGCCCAGGGTTAGAGAAGAAGAAAAAGAAATATAGGTTATTAAACCTTAAGAATTATGCAAAGCTGTAAATTTGTCTCTGGGGTTTATGTATGATTGTGGTAAGGGTGTATGGTATGGAATCTATTGAAAATAAGTATAAAGTTTTTCTCATCTTAAAGCTTGAATCACATCTCATTTTGAAAGAAATTGGTGCTAGACAGAGTCACTTATTTCATGTGTATTTTTAAAATTTGTAGATCTGTGGTCATCCTAGTAAGATGGCCATTGCAGTTATTTGTTACGTATTCATTTGCTTGTGTGCAGTTTGGTTCTGCATCCTTAAATTCGTATTCATTTCTTTGCAGCATTTTTCCTTTTAATTAAGCAGCTGACTCAGTTATTCATTGCCTGATTATCCTTAGTCTCCCCCCCCCCCCCCCCGGTTGTGCTTTTTGCCCACTTGACTACTTACTTGTATACTTAACACTTTTTTAGATGAAAGGATGCATACAAAATTTCCCATTATACTCTTCAGTTTTGGGAGTAGCTAAGGAGTTAAAGTAGACTGGTAGGGTCACTAAAATGTATGGGGTGTGTGTGTGTGTAGGTGTAGGTGTGTATAGAGAGAGACATACACACACACGGAGTGATCAGTCTGTACAAGTGAGTGTTAGTTATATTTTATAGGCCAAATGCTGCTTGGAAGGCAGTGTTGCAGTTATTGATGGTTTTAGTGTTTGAGAATGACAGTTTAGACCATCTCCTAAAATTTTATTAGAATGACTTGTTTTTCTTTCGTTCTTCTATTGCATTTGCTTTGCTATCACCTAGATTTCTTGGCTCTTACACTAGCTATGACTACTTGAAAAGGAACATCAAGTGGTAAGATTGGCATTAATGTGAGGGTGTTTTTAAGGTGTCCTCCCCCTGTGGCTTTTGTCATTGGCATTATGTGCACTTTCAGACTTTAAAGTCATTTACAAATTTTTCCAGTCTAAATATCTATGAAAGCCAAATAACTTGTTAATTTGGAACTAATCATTAGCTTAAAGTTCCTTGGGACAAGTCTACTTTGTCACGTGAAAACGTATTGTTTCATGTAAACATAAAAGTGTCATTCTTAATAAATAATCTGTTTGTGCACATAAAACTAGTGAAGTTTAGGCTGATTGTTTCTAAGGTTTAGATGGCATGGTTGCAATTATGAGTTTTTTCAGATAATTTTTATGAAATGTCCATTTTTGTATTATGTATTTGTGATTAGCATTTTATTGGGGGAGGGGAAGTAAAATAGGCATACTTTTTTTTTAACTTAAATGAGCCTTGTAAATTAAACCAGTACCTACTTACCCAGAAAACCTTAAAATATCTCTACAAGAATATGGGTAGGGTGGAACTGACCAAACAGAGCCAATTTTATTTATCTGTTTTGCACGCTTGATAGCATTGGGTGTTATTTGTATAAAAGGGAATGTTCTTCATATGTTCATTTTCTGACTACATAGAGGTAGAAGGATTGAGGTGTCTATTCCCCATCTTCAAAATCAGAGCCAGTAGACTTGGGTTTAATGAAAAAGAAATCATTAATGAAAGATCATTCCTCTGCATATCAGATATTTGCAAGGCTTGCTTAAGACATACTTATTGAGGAAGACAACAAAATGGATGATGAGAAAGTCAGAGTTTTCAAGTACGCTCAGAATTCCATCTACCTTTTGGTTGCCATCTTTAGATTGTTTTACTGATGTTCTTAAAGTATTTGTATTGTCTTGACTTCCTTTGTGCTTACAAGATTGACATTGTACTTACACTTCATATAGAGCATCTCCCAAAACTCATAGGAAGAAATTTTTAAAAGAGCTATACTCCAAGGAAAAGAGTATCAGTTAGGAACATTTTAAGCTCGTTTGGCCAAGCGTGGATTTCCAAGTATTACCATTTTCCTCTTCGATATTTTAACAGGGGAAAGCCTGTTGAAACTGATATTATGGATAGATCTTTTGGTGAAAAGCGCTATGAAGCAGCTCAAGTTACTCCTCCGCCACCTCCACCTCTTTCACAATATAGCCAGCCTTCTCAGCCTATCACCAACTCTTCACTGTCTCTTCATACACACCCCAAGGGACTCCTTTCTGAAGGTATGAGATTGAAAAGCTGAATTAAAGTATCAATTAACAAAGTATTTGTTTTACCATGTATAAACTTCTAAACTAATTTCCCACTGAGTTTTGAGCAGGTGATACTACGTTTTTAAGTCAATGACAGAATTTTGTTGGTTATCAAAAGTACCTATTTGTTTTGGGGTATCACCAGATTTACAGTGGGTTTTTTACTGTACCAAAAAAAAAAAGTTACCTTGGTGCTGTTATTTAAAAGCCTTGGTGTGAAATGTCCTTCGGTGAAACATAAGATTACAAAATTAACTCATAATTTCTGTCAGTAGAAACTTACACTCCCATTTCACTGTTGAAAAGATAAAACATGATGTTCAGATGGATAAAAATGACTTGCAGTTAATCAAGTGTACCCTTAGTAATTTGATAAATTCATTGGCTCCTGTTTTTCAATTTCAGTGTAAGCTTCATTTCCATACCTCAATTTCTAAAGATTCTAACATTTCTCAGTCTTCTGAAAATAGTACCTGATTATCAATTCCATTGTATCCAACTATTTTTCTGTGAAGATTAACCTCTTAAATATCCTTTAACAATATATAGTTTATCTTTTAGGAATAAGGAATGAATGTACCCTTTTCACTTCACCACACCTTGAGTGATCAAGGGAATAATTTTCCCCTCCAAAAATGATAGCACTCATGGTAAATAAAGTGGTTCCATTTCTTCCTCCCTTCCCTTCACCCCAGGCCCTCCCTTACACTCTGCTCAAACTACTTACCCCATGAACTCTACTTTGACCATTTATCAGACTTGGCATATAAGGAGCCTGTATTCTCCTAAACCAGGGGTCTAAGGAAGAAAGACTTGAAATATCTCCATTACTGCTTAATTGTTTCCAAAAGGGGAATAGGAGCTCATCTGCTTCTTGAGAGTCATAACATGGCTTTGAACCTGACTTTCAGATTGTGGGCCAAAAAAGATAAGGTGAAATAGGTGGGATACTTGGGCTTGCCAAAAAAGTAATTCCAGTTTCAGTGAAGTACTGAGTTACATCTTTGTGTTATCTTTTTCTTTCTTGTGTGTTTGGTGTTTTTTGTTTGTTTTTTGTTTTTTGTTTTGTTTTGTTTTTTTTTGTTTTTTGGTGAGGCAGTTGAGTTTAAGTGACTTGCCCAGAGTCACATAGCTAGTGAGTATTATGTGTCTGAGACTCTTTCTTGTGCTTTATGGATACTTTAAAAAATCATTGCTCTCACTTTCTATTGACTACTCTTTCTGACTAGAACCTTTTCATATATTTTTTTCTTTTTCAGGGAACTCTTTGTCATTGGACTTTCAGAATTCGTTAGTGTCTAAGCCAGACCCACCTCCGTCTCAAAATAAACCACCAACATTCCGATCTTCAAACCGAGAAGATACTGTTCAATCTACTTTCTATCCTCAGAAAAGTTTTCCTGACAAAGGCCCAGTTAATGGAACTGAACAAACTCAGAAAACAGTAACTCCAGCATACAACCGATTTACACCAAAACCTTATACAAGTTCTGCCAGACCATTTGAACGAAAATTTGAAAGTCCTAAATTCAATCACAATCTCCTGCCAAATGAAACTCAACATAAACTGGAGTTGGCACCCAAGGCTCCAAATTCCCCAAAAACGTTTTTGAAACACAGTTCATCACAACCTCCTGAGTTTGACAGTGGAGTAGAGACATTCTCCATTCAGACAGATAGGCCCAAATATCAACCAAATAATACTAGTGCAGTGCCTAAAGCCATTCCTGTAAGGTAAGGATCATTTTTTACCCATTCAAACTTGCTAAACTTAGAGCTTTAGGATTTTCATTTGATTTTTGCGTGAAGCTATAATTTAATATAGTTAATGTGTCCTTACATGGTTTAAGCCTTGCAGTGATAATTTTAACACCATCACTCCCAAACTTTAAAAGAAGTAGTTGAAAAAGTCTACCATCCTCAATGACATTATTGTGAAGGGGTCTGTGTTAAAAGCCATTTCCATGTCATGGAATAATTTTTTTATAGATGTTTTTTCTAGTCCTTGTCCATGGAGTAGTCAGCTCTATAATTAGAAGAATTGGATTTTTTTTTCCTTGCTAAATAGAATCTACCTAATTCCTAAAGCTAAAATCAAAGATCAAGATCTAAGCCACAGAACCCAAAATCTACGAAACATGGTCATTATACTACTTTTTGCTCTTGTAAGTCCCACACACCTCATTTTGTTTAACTTAATCATTCAGATGCTTGATGTAGTAGTAATAGAATTTTCCCTAGCTTTGTTCTTTTTAAGGCATGGTCTTGTGTCCATAGCTATTCATAAATGAGAATTTAATTACATTTCATTTCTTTCCTTTATACCTTAATTGAACTTTTCATCAATTGAAAACACTGGCAATATTTCCTTTGATGACAAGTTTGTTCTTTCTCTAGGATAAAAAACTATCTCCTGGTGCTCTGGCATTAATTTACATCTACCACGTAATCTTGATTATCCCAGAAATTAATTCCATGTTATGTTCTTAATTCAGTGTTATATTCCCCAATGTTATTTTCTCCTTGCTTGGCTGTGTTTTCCCCCTTTCTTAAAATTTTTATTTCAAAACTCAATTCCTTCAAGAAGCATTCTAGGATTCATTCCTGTCCACCCTGAAATCCTAATCCCTTACTATAATTCTCCTTGATTGATTGGTCTGTGTATTGACTTTTAAGTGTTAAGTTTTTTCTGATATGTAAGTTTAGATTGAAAACTTGGTGAATTTCAGAACTTTAGTGTCCCTGAGATATACCAGCATTGGGAGATAACGGTTGAATTTGAAATAGTAATTTAAGTTCTTATGACATGTAATCTCACAGATATTTTAAATTTATTTTTTGAGCTAATTTACTATCAGGTTATTATTTAATTGTCCAGCATATGCTTTGGATTCCAAAAACTTTATTATGTACTAAATGATAGGACAGATTACTAAGTTACAAAAATGAAATTTCTCAGAAGAAAATGTCCTTACTTTTATAGCATTTTCACTGTAATAGGTATATGAGGTAAAAGATTTCATAAGAACAAAAAATTTAATTCAGTGACTCAGTGACATCAGCAACTTGTTCTGTTGGTACACATCCCAACTTTTGCATACTTTCTTATCCTGTGTAATAAGCAGTAAATGAAAGACAAATCCTCAAAATACTATTTAGTAACACATTCCTTAAATGTTCATAAACTCTTAGTCCTTCAGCTTTGGAAGATGACGAGGATGAAGATGGTCACACTGTTGTAGCCACAGCAAGAGGAATTTTTAATAGCAATGGTGGTGTCTTAAGTTCCATTGAAACTGGAGTTAGTATAATTATTCCACAAGGGGCCATCCCTGAAGGAATTGAGCAAGAAATCTATTTCAAAGTGTGCCGAGACAATAGCATCTTACCACCTTTAGATAAAGAAAAGGGTAAGTATATGATATCCCTAAAAATTACTCTTATGTTTTTGTTCTACAAGAGGTTACAATCAATTGTCATGGTAGTTCTATTAAATTTACATACTGAATCCCTTATTATGGAGATATGGGGAGTTAGGAATATGGCACAGTTGGCTCAGTATTAAAGGTCATGTTTTATAAGTGGGAAAAAAAACCCTCAAAACCTGGCAAATCAGAAATATTTACAAAGGTAAAGTAAGATTTATTATTGTCTCCATTGCCATTTTCCTGAATCATCTCACTTTGCCACACATTTATATTGTAATAAAATTTAAGGTTTTTTGAGGAAAGAAATGCATGCCAAACATATAAAGGTAAGATATATCAATTCATCAGGCACATAGTTTGATTCACAGTTAAGATAAGCTGGATTCTCCTGATGTAATCAGATTTGAATAAGAAATGTGGTCTGAAAGTTCCCATCAAAAATTAGGAATTCTCAATTTAAACCACTGAGCACATTTTTGAATATGTGGCGTTATCATAGTTTATTATGATATTAATGTGGCAATTTTATTCTGACCAAGTTGGTCATTGCTTTCTGAATATATCGAGTCAACTGATTTTCTTAAGATTGCCAGAACTTTGCACCTGTGTTAAATTGTTTTATAACCATATAATCTTATTTACATATTTACATTAATATTCCATCAGTCCTAATCCCTTAAATCCTTCTATAAGTAACCTATAGTAAACATAAAATATCATATATAGAAGAATGACCATGAGATATTTTCAAAAGATTATATTAAAAGCATGTATTTTTAATGTATTTTTCATGATATGCAAAGTTGACCCATTTTGTCTTTAGAAGACCAAATGTAATTTGAGAATGTAGATATGGCAGTATGTATCATGGACCTTGTTATAATTTTCCTCTGAATTCCAGGTGAAACGCTGCTCAGCCCTTTAGTTATGTGTGGGCCCCATGGACTAAAATTCCTGAAGCCAGTGGAGCTGCGCTTACCACATTGTGCGTCTATGACTCCTGATGGTTGGTCTTTTGCTCTAAAATCATCCGACTCCTCGTCGGGTATGCTGTCCTCCCTCTGTCCTTTTGGGGCTTTTGGGTGCTTGTCATATGATTGATTCACTGGGCTAATCACTGCGTAACATTTGCCATCGTGTTACATGTCACTTTCTGTTTCTTTATATAAGCATTTCTAGATTTACTTGCAGTGCAAATATTATCAATCATGAATGGACAAATTAATATGGGTAGGGGGAGAACTTTTTGCCTTTTTCATATTTTGCACATAGGTACTCAATAAATGTTTGTTGAATTGAATTAAAATTGATTCAGCAAAGGCACCTTATTTTCAGCTTTTACTTTCTCAGATTATTAACACAGGTGATCTATTCTGCAAAATTTTCAGGATGCAGTGGAAAAATTGAAATAAAGATATGCCTAAATATAATAAAAGTGTACTTGACCAATGCTAAGCATTCCCACTTTGGTTTCCTACTTGGTTTTCTTTCAAATGATTTTCTTGAGCAGTCATATTTACTTTATTTGTTGGATCTAAATGTTTATACTTCCTCAATCTATAATAGGGCACCAAAGGAAGAAAAAACAATTTTTATTGGTATTAAAATTTTTCTCACCGTTTTTATAGACTTCTGTTAATTAAATCTTAATTTCAGCTTTTCCATTGCATTATTACACTTTTCAGTTGTTTGTTTTGTTGTACTTATGAAGTAAGATAACACATGACTATCACCATATGTCTATTCCCACTAAAGGAAAATCTGATATAGAAAAATATCACTAATTTCATACTGTTAGTTTTGAATTTTTCTTAATTCAAGTGGTCCAGGCTCAAATTGTTTATACTAAGGGTTTTATAGTGTAAAGATTATAGCAACATTTTTATTAGGAGACAGCTAGGTGATGCAGTGGATAGAGTGCTGGACTTTGTGTCTAGAAGACTCAAATTCAAATCCTGCCTCAGACACTAGCCATGTGACCCTAAGACAAGTCACTTAAACACTCTCGGCCTGTTTCCTCATCTGTAAAATGGTGATTATAATAACATCTACCACATAGAGTTATGAGGATAAAATGTGATAAAATGTAAAAACATTCTAGCCACTATTATTATTATTTTTAGTAGTAGTAGTAAAATAATAGCTAATATTCATATAATGCATCAAATAATACTATCTCACAGCTATTATCCTCATTTTATAGATGAGGAATCTGAGTTGGACAGAGGTTGAATGATTTCCCCGGGGTTTCACATCTAGTAAATGTCTAAGGCTGGCTTAGAATTCTGGTCTTCCTGATCAGGTTGACCACTATATAACACTGTTTTTAAGTTCCACATATTTCAGAAATAGGCCATTTATGATTTATATGGTTATTATCATTCTTATTTATACAGGGTGTCCCAAAGGCTTTTTGAGACATCCTATATATTAAAAAATTTTTCCAGTAGGTTCCATTAGGCAAAACTTTAGCCTAATTTGAATTAATTATTAACTTAAACTTTCTTTAAAAATTGAAATTTATGTGTTTTGTGTGTGTGTGTGTGTGTGTATGTATGTATGTATGTCTCCTATAATTTAGACTACAGTAAAGTACTATGTGAACGTCCTCTAAATAGTTAAAATTAGTGACATTATCTTGTTTAGGAAAATCAAATATATAGCTGATTGTTATATGAAGGATTTCACTGCATGTTTCCTCCAAATAGAAACTTCTAGTTATACAAACTTAGTTTCACTCCAATTTCCATAGAATCACATCTCTTACATTTAAAAAAAAAGTATATGTATAAAAACTACTTTGCCCTCTCTCGTATCCTATAGGGGGACACACACACACCCACCCACACACACACACACACACCCACACACACCCCCATATCCTTCTTCCAAGTTTTTCAGCTTTATTTCATGGGTCAAAGTATCCTCTGCTTTTTCTAAAATATGCTTAACTTACACCTGTAGATAAAATAGCCAATCCATGGCTATTGAGCAAACCAAAAATTATTAACAACTCCGGACAAAATCTTTTTTTCCATCTTTGGCAAAAATGTTTTCTTCTACGTAGGGGACATGTTGCATACTTTACTTAAGGTAAAATCGGGAGCCATTTTTATAGACCAATTTTAATTCCATTGGAAACTAATGTAGAAGCACATAGTTGACACTATAAACCATCATTTATTCATCTCTAATATCAAAGTTCCCTGATTATTTGGAGAGGTTTGTAGTAGTTTCTGCAGTGCTTCAGGTACTCAACTTTTTTGTCATTTATCAATAATCTCACAACATGGGGGTCTTCAAAGGAACCATGTGTTCTTACCCTGAGAGATTTTTTTGGTGTCCTGGAATTGAGCATTCCTTGTACTTCTCAGTTTTTCACACATCAGAGTTCTCTCTTTTTTTGTTCATTCTGTAAAGTTTCCTTAAATTTTTAAACGAGAATAAATTTCTCTTGGTGAGTAGTTAGTCCAGATACCTAAATTAAAGTTGTACCTGAGTTGTTCTATGGTACTACTCTGAAATGATGGGCCCCATTTTAAAGAGCAAAAATTATATGTTTGTGCATGCAACCACATACACAAGGGTTATGGAGAATCATATGTTTTAGATATGTGATATAAACATCTTTGTTTAGTGGTAATAAATATCCATTTTGTTTTCTCCCTTAGGTGACCCTAAGACCTGGCAGAACAAGTCCCTTCCTGGAGATCCAAATTATCTTGTTGGAGCAAATTGTGTTTCTGTCTTGATTGACCATTTTTAATACTTAATATAGAAACTTGATTAAATAATGTGAAACTGGGTTAGACTTACTGAATTTTAAGTGGAACCACTCTATCAAGTATTATGATGTTCATAGAAGTGATGATGGGACTGGTTAGTATTAAGTATTTTATTTCAGCTTATGATGGTTAGCAAATACACCCTTGAACCATGGTCAAAAAACATGCCATAAAACTCTGAGGCTATGATGGAAAACTGGTATTGACTGAGGGCTGGGGGTGGGTGGATATGGGGGTTCTGAATGCATTTTAGTTTTGAATTGGCTTTTGTATTTTTTAAGGGCACTGGAAACTTTATATTGGTAGATTTCTGTTAAATTACCAGCCAGCGAATGAGGGAATTATTTTGGGCTGTATTATTTTTTAACTACACTGGTATAGAACTACAACATTTTGGCCTGGTTTGACAGACACATAGTTTATTTTGATTTGCACAGGTTATATAAACATGCGCGTGCGCGCATGCGCACACACACACACACATATCCCCTCTTGAAATGCAAATACATCTCGAGCAAATATCTAGTCTAGTGGGTTTAACAGCAATCTCCAGCTAGGGTAATTTGGCAAACAACTTGGCATTGACTGTATATGAAGACACTTAGCTTTTCTTTGAGATGGACACAGAGCATGTGAGACTGGTTCAGTGGCTTGTTTGAATCTGTAAATTAACCACATTACTACAGACATATTAACCAGCAGGGATGCCTTACCCTTATGTTTTTTAATAGTTTTAGATCATCCTAGTTCTGTATGGCTAAGTTTTTGTATGGCTTTTGTGCTTATCTATATAATATATCATGAGAAAGATTGGGGGGAAATGATTGTGAACTTGTTGGTTTGAAACAAAATGTGATCAGAATAGAACCAGAAGAAAATGGCATAGGGTTCCCCCCCCCCCCCCCCTTGGAGTGGGGAGGGTTTGCTATGCATTTGAAAATTTATAGATATTATGAGGATGCCTGTACATAATGCGTGCATACCCCTTTTGTTCTTGGTTTGTAAATTAACTTTTATAAACTTTACCTTTTTTATATATACATATATATAAAACAAGTTTCTTAAAGGATATCTTTGTATTCTCTCCTATACCTTTTGAGCCTTGAACTTTGACATCTTGCAGCAATAAAGCAGCATTTCTATAATAAAATTACAAGGACATTTTTTAGAACAAGAATGCAGAGTTGTTACATTTTTAAGTGCTGCGTTTGAAAGATGCATTACTCAAAAAACTCTAGTTTGATTAAATTCTTGAAAAGTATCCCTACTGTAATTTGTGATACAGATGCTGTACTATGTGCCCTAAAATGTATTTTTTTACTAATAGACAATTTATTATGGCACATCAGCACTATTTGTTTAGAATGATATATCACTGCATTCTGTTAATCAGTTATATTAGCTCTTCAGGTGTGGCTGATTTTTTTTTTCTTTGCAGTTATTAAAAAATACAAATTTCTAAATAAGCAGAATAAAACTTTTTAAAATAATAAATTCTGGCTTGGACTCTGTTTTAGAATGTATTAACATTGATACATCACCACTTAAAACTCCCTGCCACTGGCAGAAAATATTTTTATTCTTTACCCACTGACTTCTACCATACAATTTTGGTAACAGTTTTATGCGGTCTTCATCAAGCCTATGAATTTTACATACTGAATAAAAGAATCTCAGCATTTCTTTCTAGTAAAATGTTCAGTTATATGTTTCCTAAGATAAAAGGTCAAGTCTTTTATGATTGCATCTTATTATCCTGTGCTCATGTTTAAAATTTAATTTTCATTTAGTTCTTTAGTAATTGACAGGGGGAAAAAAACCCAGACGTGCATGAAGTATACAGCTTTTGCCAGTTCAGTTATCTCGAGTTAGAAGGGGTCTCAGTAGCCATCTAGCAGTCCTTGGAAGTATTTATCTAGCTTTCATTTGAAAACCTCTAGCTTGAGGCCGAAAGCTACCATCTTTCAGGGCTGCTCATTACGCTTTTGGTCAGCCCTCATTATTAGGGTTTTTGTTTTTTTTGTTTTTTTTCTGACAAGTTTAAATTGACCTTTTTGCAGCTTTCACTTTTTGCTCTTTATCCTATCTTCTGGAGCCAAACAGAACAAGTCTAATCCCTTCTCCACCTGACAGCCCTTCAAATATTTGAACATGTTGTTATGTTCCCTGCTAAGTCTTCTTTATTCCAGGCTAAAGAGGCCCATTTCCTTCAACGAATCCTCATTTGACATGGACTCAAAGCCCTTCACTATCCTGGTTCTAGACACTCTCTAGCTTATCAATATCTTTCTTAAATTGTACCACCCAGAACTGAATATAACATTCTAGAGGAGATCTAACAAGGGCAGAGTAGAGAAATAGTATCACTTAACTAGTTCTAGGAATCTAGTCTTTTTATTAAGCCTGTTAGCTTTTTTTTTTAATTCCACATCACATTGCTTACTCACTTGAGTTTGCAATACACTAAAATTCCCTCATCTTTTTCAGAACTGTTATCACATCATGCCTCCCTATCTAATAGGTGTGAATATTTAATCCCAGCTATAACCCTTTATCCTTATCCAGATCTTTTTGGATCCTATCCCTGTCATCCAGCGTGTTAGCCCTCCCAGCTTTGTTACGCCAGCGAATTTTGAGCAGACCATTTATACCTTTATCCACGTCATTTATAAAATTGGAAAAACACAGATCCCTAGGGTACCGCTATGAAGATCTCTTGCCCCATTGCATCCAACCAGTTCTAAATTAATTATATTATCTAATTATTAATTTTTATCCAATTTATATCATCAACTAGTCCACATCTCTCCCATAAGATTAGCTTGAGATACTTTTATCAGATTGTTGCTTAAGCTAAATCTGTAGTATTTGTCATATTTACTCATTTAGTAATCATGTCAGAAAAAGGAAGGTATGTTATCCTGGCATGACCTTTTCTTGATGATGCTCTCTCTTTGTAATTCCCTGGATGTTTGCCATTTATCTCTTTAATGATCTCTAGAATTTTTTTGGTGATAAAAGTCAAATTCACTGGACTATTGCAGATGTTTCTCTCCTTTTTTGAAAATCAGGGGAAGGAGAATAAGATTTATATAGCACCTAATATGTGTCCTGCGCTGTGTTAACTAAGTACTTCACAAATATTACCTCATTTGATTCTCACAGCAAATCTGTGAAGTGTGTGCTGTTATAATCTCCATTTTACAGTTGAGGGAACTGAGGCAAATGACTTGCTCAGGGTCACATAACTACTCAGTGTCTGTACCCAGATTTGAACTTGGGTCTTCCTGACTCCAGACTCAGCACTTTGTCCACTGTGTCACCTAAATTTTTTCTTCCTTCTTGGCGTACTTTTCCCATTTTCTTTCATCTTTCAAATGTCACTGATAGTGGCTCAGCAATCATTTACCAGTTTTTTCATTATTGAAGAAAGCAATTCACTTGGGCATGGTGATTTGAATTTATCAAAAGCTGATAGGTGCTCTTGTAATGATTGCTAACTATTGCCTTATCTTGGATATCAACTCCTTATTAGCTATTTATGTTCTTTTATTGGGTTAAAGGTTAAAAAGAAAATGAGGAAAAAAAGAATTGTGTAACTTGGTATTCACTCATGACATCCATCCATCCTTAGAAAAGGTCCTATTCTTTCTTTGCTCCCTCCTTCTCTTTCAACCAGCATTATTTTAAAAAACCCAACCCTTTTTGTTGTCTTTATCTTCTTTTCCCACACTCAGCTCATTCTGTATTTTAGCACTTCTGATGCTGTTTTTATATTACCATACCATGCTCCTGTGTTTATCCTTTGCCATCTTGCCTTGTGTCTCTATACATTTTTGAGATACTTGAGCATCCATATCAGTCTCTTCAGACAAATCCCAGTTTTCCTGCTCTTTGGAAGTGTCTTCAACATTTAACTTTGGAGCATTTCTTTTTCACTCTGGACTGACTAACCCTGTAACATATTAGTCCATGGCATCCTAATTATCTTTCCTCTGAACCGTTTAAAATCTGCTTTCCTAAAATCTAGTTTGGCCGTCAAAGTATGTGTGGATTTCTTCTGCTCCATTGCATCCTACAGGAAGTAGTCACTTTCTTCCAGGAATAGTAATTCCCACATTTGATTTCCTTTGCCTTCTGAAGGATGAATTTATTTCTTAGGCAAGTAAATGTCCAGGTAATTGACATCTCCCATCTTCCTTAATGTCAGGCTTATGATCTGTCTTCCAAACTCCTTGTCTGTTAACCTCTTTTGTTCAGATGGTCTGTGGCATCTCTATACATCTGATAAAGTCTCTTCTGTTTCTCCTTTCAGTGGCTTTCACTTTCTTTCCATCATGTTTCTACTCTGGTTCCAGGTTTTCTTCCACTTGAGCCTACCGTTTTAATCAATAATGGCACTCTACTCCTTCCACATTTTACTTCATCTATTTGTTTTTTGATAAATTGTAGTCATCCAGAGACGTGGTCCTGTCATAGGTTTTATCCTGCCAAGACTCAGTGATAGACCTATGACTTCAAATTTTTCTCCTTGTGCTGGAACTTGTAGTTCTCCGTGCTTATTGTCTAAACTTCAGGTACTTGTGTATGGACTTTTAAAGTCATAGGTTTTACTAACCTCTGTTTAAAATAGTTTTTTTTTGTCTCCTGTGACCTTCTGGCTGTCTCAGGAACTATTTTTGTAGCTATCCTCTATAGTAGATTGCTTGGGGATAGACATACTCCCTCATCCTATTTAGTTTGTAGATTAGATTAGATTTGGAAGTCACCAGGCAAATACATTCTTACTAACCTAGATGTTTTCCATCTCTGGCAAGTAAACGTTGGCCCGAAAGTCAGGGTCCTGGTTTCAGACTCCAACCTCTCTTAGGAAGCTCACTTTTGAAATTAATTTTTCTCTTTTGCGTTCCTTGCCTTCAGTGGGCAACACTGATGAAGACAATATTGATGAAAAAAGATCCTTTTCGTCTTTGGCATTAAGTCAGTTGCCCAAGACTTCATAATCATTTGTAACACTTT